CCCCAAAACCCCAAAACCCCAAAACCCCGTGAGATGAATTTGGGAGATAATTTATTCATAAATGTAAAATAAGGGTCATAATTAAATGTGAAAGACATTATTCAAATAGATCTCATATCCTTAGAAGATCTTCTTTTGCTTTATTTATCTACACTATAACAAAAATCATCATCCATGAGACTTCCTGGGTTTAAATGGCTAGGAGGTACATTGCTCTAAGATTCTTCTTTTTCAAACAACAATATACTACTTCCATTATTAATCTAGCACATAACATAGTCTTCTCTGTGATCTTCGTCGTCTGACTCAAGGTTCTTCATTGGAATACCTTGAGTGCCTCCGCATTTATTATAGAAATTTTCGATGTACTTCATACTTTATTCATAGTCTTAAGTAGTCATATTCCTATTGATTTACGCACTAGCATAGTCTATAGTCTGCTTCTACTGGCTATCCTAGTTATCTTCTTCATCAGACGAACTTTCATAATCTGGAAGATTATTGAGATTCAAAGCTGGAACTGTCTTTGGCTTCTTTCTAATTTATGCTGGATCTGGGCCGACATCAATGGGGTCATAACTATCATCTGAGTAGAATGAGAACATCATGCTTGACTGATTTACTTACTCATCGCCTACAATGTCAGCAAATCTTGAAGTTGGAATGTCTTTGATTCCCTCCTTTTCATATATTTCATTTACGGGGATCCCTGAGTTTTAGAGTGAATATAAGAAGTAGAGGAATTTATTCTCTTTATTCTTATGATAATCAAGTTTAGTCTGCATTCTATTCAGCTTTTTTTAGATTCTATCGTTCATTATCTTCAACTGCTCATTTTCAATTAATAATTCAGTCTTTCTCTCTGTAATCTTTGGAGTCTGAACAGCCATCTCAAAATTTGCTTGGGTTGAGGCATCATCTTTTTTAACTTCTTGCTTTAAGAGTGAAATAATTTATTCTTAATGCTATATAGTATCATTCTTTTAAAGCACTTGCTGGTTGAGAGTTTTATTTTGATTCTCTAAGTCAGTGATTTTCTGCTACATCAAGGCAATACAAGCCTGACTCTATTGAGTTCTAAATGACGAGCTAGCAGAAAAACAATCATTCTGTGACGTTGTGGCGTGAGTCGTATTTTCATCCTCATTTTATCTATCTGATAAAAGTCTTTAAGGATTTTATCTAGCTGAGAGAGCTTAAATATTTGCTGCCAATTAACTATCACTAAGTTTCTTTATGATAGATTCATAACTGTTTTTTATTAGCTCAAGTTAAGATTTTATTAAAGTTAAGTTAGCTTACTGTTTCCTTTGCTGTATTTATGTGCTATCTCCACTAGATGCCTATTGTTAAATCGATTCTATAATATCAGTGAAAGTTCTATCTAGTTAGAAAAGACTGTCGTTTCTTACACAACTTGGTCCGATAATCTAAGAAGTTTTAGAGTGACCCATTTAAACATTCTTATTATTTTCCTTATTCATATATTCAATTTGGCACTGAGCAGCATTACTATTATGGATAAGTTATTTTAGCTTAGTCTAATCTGCCTATATTTGAACTTGAGAGTGATTTGCCTAGGATTAAGGCATAATATGTTTTTTATTCGTAAAATCTAACTCATTATTCAGCTATTTTAGCTACTGCTCTGCAATCCTCAAGACTCTCTCTTAAGTATTCGAACGCTGCTGTTTTCTCTTCTACGATTGACCAGGTTGGCGGGTTATTGAGACATTTTGATTTAAGTTAATAGTTTGCATGGTAGGCTGATTACAGATTGTCATAAGGGAGTGGTTTATACCTTAATTGTGATGAGATGTGTTAGCTCTGACATATGATGACTCCTTGGAATCATTGAGCATTGCACTGAGTCCTCCAGCTTTTAGATTCAAAGAAGTTTACATTAGCAAATTTTATGCAGTTTTGTTAATTGGTGGCTTGAACAATTATACTGAATGAGTAAGCACATTTTCATCTTTCTTTTTTTTGCTCGTTAACTTCTTCTTCTTTTTATGAGAAGAATTTCCAATCATTCCTTATCTGCTATTAGGTGATAATGAAGTATGAGGCTACGTCATATTTTGGTTGTAGCTTGTTGAATTTTAGGTCAAGCAAATATTGTTATTTTGATTTCCTGATGAATTGTGGCTTTTGAATAACTGAAATTAAGATGGCTTTTATTGAACTATATTGGTGTTCATTATAGCATTGGTAAAATCTCTAGACAGAGATTTTTGTTGCTGCTTCTTAACTAGGGACTTCAAATAATTAATTCTTTTTGTAGATCTTTAGAGAGATGAATTCCCATTTTTTGAGTTTGATTTACTTAGGACTATATTTTAAAGAACATTATTTTTTTCTTTATTAGCAGGTGGAGGTGAGAGTGTTTGAGTTCTCATATTAGTGCAACTCGATTAATCCTGAGAATAAATGTGATTGTTATGGGAAGGTGTTCCTTTCGAAATACCTTTCTAATTTACTATTGTCACATTATTTCCATTCTCTAATTATTAATTCTAGTGCGAGATCCTTGACTTTGAAGATTTCTTCTTTTTTGAAGAGGGAGGTTCTTGATGAAGCTATGATGAGGATGAAGTGAGACACACTTAATTTATTGTAAAGTTTCCTGCATAGCCAGATGATGAAAACTTGTGATGAGCAATTCTTTCATTAGATGAAGCTGATTCATGAACAATTTTGCCTGGATTCTTCTTCTTTTTGTCAGTGGTGTTCTTCTTTCTTCCATCTGCTGACAAATTCTGAGGTTAAGTCTAACCATGACCACCTGTAGGTTATGGCACAACTAAAGAAATACGTCGATTAGAATTATTCATTGGCGTTTAGGAAGTAGGCTACTATGAGACTTAATTTATCAGTTGCAGCAGTGAAATTTTCTCATTTGGTACTATTATCTACGGGGCTCCCTTCGAGCCATTGATAGAAGTTTGAGGTCCTAAAATATTTATGGGTGATATGGATATACTTTTGGGTTTTGAAGAAGCAATTAGCTGTTGGCTGCCAATTTAATTCATAATTAATAATATTATATTATGATTTCTGAAATCAGTAATTCAGCTTAATCAATTAAAAACTCTCATCATGAAAATGATGATGATTTACCTACTTCACCTCTCTTAGACTCGTTCTCTTCCTCTACCAGTAATGAAATTGACACCGAACAAGATCAAAATATTGAGGGATTTGAGGATCTCTATGCTGAGATGCAATAGGATTAACTGAGTGAGTCTGACTTAAACAAAAATTTCAAATATTTAAAGAGAAAAATTGCTGAAAAGGAGGAAAGAATAGATCATTGGCAGCTAAACTAGTAGGTTTTAAACCACCAAGACAAACTCACTAGTACATATCTAATTCATTTCGCTTGCGAATACGGTTTTCACTATTTCCTTAAGAAAATAAAGCAGTATCATGGAGAAAACTTTTTGTTTGAGCAGCTGAAAATTCTCAGCAAGTCTGGAAAGACAGCCATTCATTTTGCATCTTAGTCATGTTAATACAAAGTTCTAAAGCTTATATTAAAGACTTTGAAAAGAGTTAATTAATAAGAGCTAGAATATCAAATCACCCTAAAGGATTCGAGGAATAAGAACCTACCATTGCATTTTCTACTAGCAAACTCAAGATAAGTTGAGGTCTCAGAAATTAACAAATGCTTCAGCTTATTGCTTAAACATATTAGAGGAGACTAAATGTAAGCCAGAAATACTAGAATGATTTCTGCTCTTGAAATATGCATTGAGAAGGGCTACATCGATGTGTAAGATTTTCTCATTTAACGAAGCTGTTGTTTTTAGATTGAAAAAGATTATAGAGTATGATGAGAGCATCTTAAGTTTCTATGATCTCATGGGAAATACTATATTACATTTGGCTTGTAAATAAAATAACTATGAGATGGTCCAAGTTTTACTTGAAAAGAAGATTGACTATGAAAAAATAAATCACTAAAATTAGTCAGCATTTTAAGTTGCTTTTGAAACGGGCTGCATGGAAATTTGTGACTTAATCACTAAGCATTAGTAAAGTTCATGTTAAAGCTAAAAGGAAATCTAGGACTTAGAACTTTCTATTCAAGAGGATGAAATCATTTAAAAGAGAATGTCTGATACTTCTCAGAGTTTGGTAGAAGACTAGCCCAACAGATTTGACTAGAAAATTTTCAAAGATGTCTTGATTCATTTAGATTTCAAAGGGGCACCCCCAACAATATCATTCCTAAAGAAACTCATTACATATCTAGGTGAAAGATATACTAATCTGGTAACAGGCATCATATTTGAGTTTGAAGATACTTTCCCTTATGATGGGTATTTAACTCAGCTAAGAGGACTAAATTTCTACTCAAAAGATTAAATTAAGGACATTGTTGAACTTACAAAAAAATACAAGTTTAAAATAGTACCTTTGATTCAGACTTTTGGGCATCTAGAATTTGCTCTTAAAAGAGAAAGATTCTCTCATCTAAGAGAATAAAATGACAATTATTAATCTCTATGCCCTCTTAAGTAAGACTCTAAATAATTTGTCCTCAATCTAATTGAATAAAACATTCAGATTCTAGGCTTGGATAATCTTTAGTTGATTCATTTGGGTGCAGATGAAGTATTTAATCTAGGATCTTGTAGAGATTGCCAATTCTTTTCTGAAGAGGCTGGAAAGCCTGCACTGTTCTCCAATTTTATCATGAAAATTTGCAAAAGTGTAAAAAAACGCTATCCAAAACTAGATATTATGGTGTGGGATGATATGTTTCGAAATCAAACATTTATGGAATTCAGTCATTTAAAAGTAAACAATACTCCAATATTCTAGCCATGCATATGGTCTTATCCAGGGAACTTCGATTATTTCAACTAAACTATAAAGAATTAGAGTTTTAACAATCTCTGTCTAGAATTCAAGAAGGTGTGGGTGGCATCATGCTTCAGAGGTTCATTTGAGCCATCAACAACAATGGTTGATCTAGGAGAGAGATTATAAAATCATAGACTATGGATAGATAAAGTTAAACAGAATCCTTGCAGCTAATAAGCAGTTTAGGGCATTATTCTTACAGGGTGGAGTAGATTTTGCCATGAAACAGTTCTTTGCGAATTATTATCAATGACAATACCCTCGTTAACAATGTGTTTAGCAGTTGTTGAAAGATAACAGCTTAACTTAAATGTAATTTACAAGGAGTCAGTACAATACCTTAATCTGAAGGGGAAATATATAATTTAAGGAATCAATGAACTTATTTAGTCAAAATCTTTAGATGAGTTTTATAAGTTTTCTCCTTATATTGATACAAAAAAGTAAAAACACTTTTGCCATGATGCATTTGAGATATGTTGGAATTTAACCAAAGCAATATAGCTTTTAAAGCTATCCAAAAAGTCTATTAAGGATAGTTCAGTGATTAATTATGACAAGATCATGAAAAGGTAAAATCTATATGTGATGTAACAGTATGAAAACTTGAATGACTACCAAAGAAATAAATATAGATTCTAAGATAATATGTCTATCGATACTTAAGAACTTAATGATGAAGAATCGTTCTCAAGTGACACTATGAATTGCGATAGAATAAATCCAAATACTAGATAAAAGCTTCTTGATTATTTGAATGTGTCTATAAAATTGCTAAAAAAGTCAGTTTTAATGGCTGATAGAATTCTTCCATAGTATATGTTCACCAGGGACATCTAAGAATTTAAGAACTCAAAAATTCTTAAGTATCTGCATCAAGCATTCATAATATTCGAAGGCTTGACTGAGAGGACAAGATCATCATTTGCAATAGACAGACCATTTAAGCACTAATACAAGAGTCAATTTATGAAGAGAATGTCTCAAACTCCAAATATTACTTCAAGTCCTTTAATATAGCCTTTATCATTTGAAGACTAGCATGATAGCAGAGGCTTAGGAACTCAGATTTTCCCTTAATTAAATGAAGTTATGATGTAGCTAGGGAGAATAACAAGCTTTGATGAAAAATTAGTGCCGTATATAGCAAATTTCAGTTCTGCTGATTCCTTAAAGGCCTAAAAGTCATAGGAGTACTAAAGGCCTAGTGAATTTGAAATTCCATTGCCACCTGTTAAGAAATCTTATAAAATGCCTAGAGGAATGTAACTACTTAATAAAAAGAAAGAAATTGGAATAAAAAATGATTAATAAGAATAGCACTTGAGAAATGGTTAGTCATTGTAACTTCATCCAACCGAAAGCAATCTTTCGAACAATAGCGCCATTTCTGAGGAAGAGAAAGTACCTTCTTATGGAAGAAAACGTGAATCAAAGATATTAAGAAAAAGACTCAGACCAAATCAGATTAATAGCTCAAATGAGATGAGAGCAGTAAGAAACAATTATCATGAGGGAGTTGGGGTTCGCTAGAAAAAAGCCAGGATACAGCAAAGTCAATCTGTTGACGATCCCTTAAATATTCTAAGGTAAAACTATGAATGAGTGCTCATTCATCCTTAGTCATGCTCTAATATTTAAAAATGAGCTATGAATTTTCAAGTAAGGATTAGTATTAGTTTTCATAAATATTTTAAGATTTAAATTAAATATTGACCTCTGGGGTTTTGGGGTTTTGGGGTTTTGGGGTTTTGGGG